GGCGGGAAGAGAAAGAAGGGAAGGAGAAAAACCTGAAGGATGGGATAACAGACAACACAGAAGAATATCACAAAATAACTGAGGAAAGAATACAGTTTTTCTATCAACAGTTGGGATTTTGAGACCCATGTTAATTTGCAAGGTTACTGAAAACTCACCAATGTCTGTGCAGAGCATGCTCTTTCGCTGTTGTGAATGGAACGTGCCAACCAGTGGGAATAGTGCTACACCATGTTTTGCTTTCCTCTAGATTAAAGTGTATGCAGTTGAAGTGAGCATGGAAGTGCCATATGCTGAACTCTGGCCACAGCAGACTATTTGACGTAAACCTCTGTCTCTGTAAAATAACTTGTCTGCCTCGAGTTTTCCATCTCACGCTGCACAGTTGAGGTTGGAAGGCACCTTGGGAGATGATCTAGTCCAACACCCATCCTACACACCCCCATGTGCCTGGTCAGGTTTTGAAGGAGACTCCACAACCTCTCTGGGCAACCTGCTCCACTCTCTGACCACCCTCACAGGAAAAGTTTTTTCTGATGTTTAAATGGATTCTTCTGTCTTTCAATTTGTGGCCATTGCCTCTCAGCAGCACTGAGAAGTCTGGCTGTTTTTACTCCCACTCCATCTTGTACTTAAAAACGTTGGTAAGATCCCTCCCGAGCCTTCTACAGGCTGAGCAGTCCCAGTTCTCTCAGCCTCTCCTTGTACAACAGATGCTCCGCTCCTTAAACATTATCATCATGGCCATTTCCAGAAAGTCTGTGTCTCTCTTGTACAAGGGAAGCTCAGAACTGGACCCAGCACTCGAGATGTCTCATCAGATGTGAGTGGAAAGGATCACCTCCCTTGACCCACTAGCGACACTCTCCCTAACATAACCTGGGAGATGCTGGCCTTCAACATAACTGGCTCATGGTCAGCTTGGTATCCACCATCACCCACCAATACTTCTTCAAAACTTGCCTGAACTCTATCTTCCCCTTTCAAAAGAGGTCATGCTCCACACCCAGGCATCAATCAGACTGGAGGTTTCTTCCATGCTACACCCTCACTTGATCCTGTGCCAAACCAGAGCACTGGCAGAAGGCCTAATCCAGCTCATGGTTCAGGACTGACTCAGTAGCATTTAGAGGAAGCAAGCTTTTTAGTAGCCAGGAACAAGCTTAACAAGTTCCCAGGACTATCAAAGAGGTATTTTTACAGTAAATACTTTACGATGAAAGCTTTCATAAGAGCTAAGAAGTTGGAAGTGGTAGATAGAAAAAAATTGTCCCGTTCTTACCGAAAGCAATTTAATAAAAGTGCAAAAGGGCATGCCCTTTGAAAATCTCTACTTTCCCAGAGCAATGCAGCAATACGAATAAGGCTGCATCTCCTCAAACTTTCAAAAGCATTCATGTATCACCATAGCCTGTAGAAAGATTATAATCTTTTATTGATTTCTTGTTTTACAGATTCAGATTTAACTTTCAATAATAAAGTTCAATAAATTGATTCCCTAATCATAAAAACTTGTTTTAAACATTATGTACAGGTACCCAGAGACTACAGCCATAGAGCATGTCACAGCTATACCACAGACCTTCACACAGAACAAGCTGGGGAGAGGCGCTAACTGCGATGACATACATTCAGAGATCAAGTTGTGGATACGCACAGTGCATTTGGCACAGCTCACTGAAGATTGCCCACACAGGGACAGTAAAATAATCCCAACTAAGTGATAATGTGGATTAATTCAACTACATTAATTCCAGGAGGAACACTTAATTCACAATTAAAGTAGCCATCAGAACAGAATTGATTAAGCTGAATCAAATGCAGCTGAACTAATCATTTTAGTTTCATTAAGCATCCCTCTACAGACAAATCCTAGACCTTGAGATCTGTCTGCAGTATAAAACAAGTCTTTTTAGTTCAGATATGCAAAAGTCTGAGGACTGAGGGAGCTCAGGTATTAGAAGTACTCTTTGGCAGTTTGATACAAATATAAAAAAGATTACTTTCGAGGACTAAGCTAAGCTTTTCCCATTTTATATCTTTACTGCCAGCACCAGAACTGCTTCAGTGACACAGTAACACTTATATATGGTAACTTAAACACAGCCTTACATTTTAATGAAACAAAATTCATATTACAGATAAACTTCAAAAGATACCCTCCAACAGGCTATCTGCTCTCCACAAAGAAGTTACATTCTTAACATTCAGTGCGAAAATTTTCCTATAGCAATGACAGAACTCAGGAAACACTGCACAACTGTTCATCTCTGTAATACCGTAACTGGCAAACATCAGAGACCAGTCTGCAAAAGGCAGCCAACTATACTGAGCATTCCAGCTCATATGGAATGTTATTTGATGTCAAAACCATTAGTTAATTCATTAAACATCCCTTTCTCTTTCACGAAATAAAGTACACCACAGTTCTCTCCTGTAACTGCAATCCAATCTTAGTATCATGAAAAACTGCAGCTCAGAGTTTATGCAATCTGCTTTATAACACTGCATCAAGCTACAACAGTTAAAATATAGCATTACAACACAGCAGACATTCACTTAAAATCCGGCAATTCCCTTTTAAAAGCAGTAATGTTTCCTTCTAGTGCCATGCCTGTCCTGAAGGAGATAAAGCCAGACTCATTTTGAAGGGGGGCAGGGAAGAAGGAAACACTTTCAGAATGAAGTGTCCAACAGTTCTACAGCCTGCAGGGCAGAGGCTGCAACATTATGTCTGTCTCCAGCAATACAGCTCTGCTTTGTCCAAATGCTGCTATAAAGACTTTCAAATTGCTTCCAACAATAGGAGTTTAACTTGAATAGGGCATTCCATAATGAAGACCATTTAAATAATACATCTATTTAGTTATCTCAGTTTTGAGATACTGTAGTGCAGCTTCACTTCCTTTTTTTTTTCTTGTCTACTGCAGACTCCCAATTCAAACTTCTAATGCACAGTTCAGAGCAAACCTAACAAAAGGTTTAAGGAGACTCCCCTGCTGGGTACACAAGCACAACAAGTCAGTCACAGTAGGTGTGAAGCGGACCTAGTTCATTTTCAGATTTTTTAGCAAATGGTGGCAGAGCCTTAGCCAGATTGTCAGCTTAAGTGAATTTTATGGGGAAAACAGGTATACAAGCAGTACATAGTACTGTTTATGTGGTTTTCCCCTATGAAAAACTGACCTGATGCTAGAAGTTTCACCCAGGGCTGCAGGTATACTTTCATTTTACCCCTTAAAAAAAAAAAGGATAGATAGTGCTACACAGACTGCCTAATGCATTTACCACAGAAGATTCCATTCCTTTTTATGGAATCTTCTCAGTTAACAGAACTGACCCCTCTGGAATTCACCTATTATATAGAAAATATATCTGAAGATAAACCAGGTGATTAGCTCCAAAATGCCTGGCCATGAAGAATTAAAAAAGAAACACACTGACATGGGAGCTCTTCCTTGGATTTAAGGACTGTCTGGATACAGAACTCCAATTTATGTTATCCTGGAGATTTCACAAGATTTAATTCTTGCATGTTCTTTTGGTCACTTCCACATGAAAATGCACATAATTCAGCTTTGAACAGCTTTGCTTGCAATACATGTCTTTTTCATAAAGGAAATCTGTGAGTTTCCCCCTCCCCATAGACTCTCACACATTCACGCAGACTCTCTAGAAAGGTAAGACACTTTATTGAATTTGTTGATAAATTAAGAAAGGACTATGAACCAGAGTTATGGGTCACAAGTGCTTGTAAACAGACATAAATTCCTTCCCACAGAAAGCCTGACTCCATGTGCTCAGCCAGAAGTCACTTTCCCCAGCGTTGCTCACAGGCTGCATAGTGATGGAGGGCAGAGAAAAAATCTTCATAGCTGATGTTCAGGTGGGAAGGCAAAGAACTGAGAAAGCAAGTTAGAAAAGTTAAAATAAGCTTCTATAAACACCACACCATTCACGTGGTCAGTCAGGAATATCACTACTTGAAGCAAGGTACCATCTGAGCAACCTTGTGAAGCTGTTCTTAACACTTATTGTCACTCACCTCTAGTAACTAAACTAGCTGTTAGTATCTTGTCAGACCCTAAATCAAAGCCTAAAAATCATTAGAGCACACAGGGCACTTCAAACTAGTGAAAAAGCTGGAGCAGCACAGGTCTGCCCAGACATTTCAGTGCTCTATAAATGCTCTCAGATTTAAGAAATACGGCAACTGTAGTAAGTTCACTTATTGCCAATACTGGAAAGTAATCCAGAGGCATGACATCCTACATCATCCTTTTCTTATATTCTTAATTTTCCTGTTCAAAACCTGTAAGCCACTCAAAATCCACACAAGGAACACCAACAGAACTGGGACTGGACCCCTGAGACTAGATGGCAACCAAAGTTCTTCCTTAAACCTGAAAAGTAAAGCTTGCTGTAGCCTAATTGTGGCTGAAGGAACAACAATTAATGTTTGACAGGTTTCATTTAACAATTTTTAAATAGCCTCAAAACAATCTCCACACACCTGTTTAGACAAATCTCGTCTTACAGCTATTTCCATAAGGCAAGTCACATAAAGACTTGTTAAGGTATTATTCCAACCCATTTACCAGTATTCATAGGTAACTCACATGATCTCTGTCAGTCTGATGTGCCATGGAAGGAATCCTAATGTGCTGTCCACAGGACCAAACTTCAAGACTAAATCAGGATCAGGAAATCCATTTGTACCTGTAAGAACAAGTTAAATTCACTTGTATTAAATTCACCAGAAGACTGGTTTTAAATCTAAACCCTAAGGCATCTGCTTCTGAATTAAATACATTTTTTTTAACATGAAGTGAAGCTCCTGAGGACAAGTTAACAATTAAAAGCCCAAGAGGACAGACCAGTCTTGTACCACCTGAGCAAAAGCTTAGGCAGCCACTGCAGGCCCAGCTAGACCGTTATTTTTATATCACTTAGTTTTCAAAGACTTGGTAAGGAAGTGATAGGTACAGTTACATAGTTTTGAATAAGAACAAACCTTAACACTGCTGTTTAAACTGACTTGTTCTAGCTTTGTCTTGGCAAGCTTGATTTTAGTAGCGTAGAACATGCCATACTCTTACCCATACCTACTCCCATACTTAAGTCCTAACTCAACTATGTGGAGTTGCAGTTGAGTAAAAGGACTATTAACACAAAAAAACCTTAAGGGTGTTCCACTGAAGAACAATTCGATATCACAGACCATCAAGAAGTTGTAAAAAGATACCCTGTCAGATTAATTGTCTCTTTCTTAGTATGGAGCTTAGACAATTTTTAAAACGCCTTTTACTATGACATTTCAGACAAACTGTTGCAGGTGACATCCTTCTGCTTCGATGAGTGAAGAGTAACAGGGCAGTATTTTTTCCTGTTACTAAGTGGACAGCATAACCCATTACAGGGCTGGGCTAGATAACACTTCACTAGTTGGCCACACTCTTACTACCCACACCTTGAAACCCCCAGTGAGAGCATCCTGCTCATCTTCTGAGGTTGAAGACAATCAGTGGCCAAATGACACTGTCTCCCTTTCATACACTTCTGCCATGCCTGAGCTACTCCAGGCTAAAACTGCTAGTCAATAAGCTTAGAAGATAGTCCAGCTTTCCCTGATATTCTAAGAAGTTGATTAGGATAAGGATAGTACCCCAAAGGAACACAAGAAGGTAAGTGTTCTTCATGCACCTGCCTAGCTCATCTGCAAAGCATTCCAGCAGTCATACCCTACTTTGCTATAATGCTGCAAATAGTCATGATTACTGAATGCTATTTCTTGTCACCCTTTCCATTACCCACTAACTCTACAAGTTAACTGCAAGAGAACTTACATTGCATAATGGCTACCTTTAGCAGGCAGAGTTTAATACTGCCTATTTGCTCTGAAGTTCAGACGGTATTTCTCAATTATTTTCTCACTTGTTTTAAAAAACCTGACAAAACCATAACCACGTAAGAGCCTTTTACAAGTTTAATTTAGTTGCAGAGGAACTTTGTGAATAACAGAACAGGAAACTAAGGTCCTGTCAGATTTTGCTCTGCCCAGGTTTTGAAATTGAAGCTGGAGATTAAAGAGTACATTCTCCCTCCCCACTGAATCATCACAATACTAATTCTCTTACCAGAGGTAAAGAAGCTATTTTCCCAAGCATGTGTATTTCTAAGGAAGGCTTAAGTATTTAGATACAAGTGCCTTGTGCCACAGTCCAGATCTTATTTTGTAAGAAGAAAAAAATTGTAAAGCAAAAGCCACTTATGTTCAGTAGCTAGCATGTTAGTATAAAAGAGCTTTGCAGGGAAGGAGTGAATACTTAGAAGTGGGGCCTCTGGAGGAAGTGGACAGCTTTACTCATCAGCTGATTCAGCAGCTGAGTACTTCTCAGCTGGCCAGTTCAGCAGCAGGATCTTCAATGCTGCAATGGCTTTTCAAACAGGAAAATACCTTCAGAGAGCCCAGTTAATGCTAACATTTCCTTTTGGTTCCTATCTGAAGGAAAATGAAAATGTACACTGTAGAATTACTGTCAGAACAGCCTATTCAGAACAGCACTGTGCTTTCCACTCTGCATCCATTTCTCTGCTTAAACATTATCAGCACTACAGATACTTTACATGCAGAAGCTCTCAGAGCTGCTAGGGTTACAGCACTCAAGTAAGTTTAGCACACACAAGATAAAAGGATTTAGGAACAGACTCTAAAAAGCAAGAGGCCAAAAGACTTGGTCACTCAAGGGACAGGACTCTGGCAACATCCCTCCTAGGTCAGGAGTTCTGAGGGGATCATGAAGGTATTTGTAGAACTGACAGTGTTACTCTTCTCCACGTAGATTTTTATAGGGCAACTTGAACACCCTTAATTAACAGTCATGTTCTTTACTAGGAAGGCAGATGGTAAGTAGAGACAATATTATAATGCAGCTGGTAGCTACTTTTCTGAAAACAAGCAGGTTAGATGAGGCATTGCTCAGAGGTACTCTTAGACTGAAGAAAACTGAAGCTGTAAGAATTAGAGCATGACTGGATTAAGAACTAGAAAAGACAGATGACAAGCTAGAACCATACCATTTTAGGACTAGACTTCAATAACTGCATCCTAAATATAAACAGAAAGTTAAAAAATTAAATTATCACGTATTGAAAATCAAAATGTGAGAAAACTTACAGAAGTCACCATGAACACAAACCCTAAAAATAGAGGTACTCAAGTACTGCTTTTCAGAACTCACTCTCAATTTAGATCAGTAACTCACAGATGTTTACATTCAACACCCTTCCATTAATGATGTACAGAAACTAAATTTGCCTACAACTAAAAGGAGTAGTTCCATAAGTTGCTGCTAAAGTCATGAAAGAACAGTTCTTTACCTCCAACTGCCCTAAACATTAAAACCAAGCAAAATAACAAGCAGGACTAGTTATAAATACTATCCTTAGTTATTAGCCACGTGAAGTAGTCCATTTTCAAAGTCTGCAGTTTTGACAGATTAAAAGTCTAGGAGATTTCTCTTTCTGTGCTCAACTACCACGCATTACTTAGACAATAAATGTGATCAATTTAAGACTAGACCTAATACTTTCAACATATTCAGACACTTAAAAGCACAGACAGAAGATCATGAACAAGGTTGTGAGAAGCTCCAGTTAAACACCACACTGGACAAAATACATACATTGGGATCAACTGCCACCAATTCCTCACAAAATGGATGACTGTTTTAAAGAAGCAATTACTCATTTCATTGAACTGCCTTTGGGGCATAACAAGATAGATGTCTAAGTTACTTCTTCAGGTGCCTTATTAAATATATTTATTAATTCCATTACAGTGAGAAGCTATCATGCAGCATGCTGACAACAGGGATTGAATTCAATTTGTAATTAAGATTAAAGTGTCCAAACCACCATGGCAGTCAGCCTGGAGAGCAATTCAGCTAACCACCCATTTGAAAAAAATCACTCTCTGAAGTCAAATTAATGGGAGCCACAATAACATACCTAGAGACATCGAAGCTGAAGTGTGCAATCTGAAACCTGAACTCTTCCAAGCTAATTACTGCTGCAATTAACATGCATGGATCACCTAGGAAAGCTGAGCAACTATTACAGCTCCATAGCACCACTGCGGAAGTGGAGGCCTGTTCTAAACAAGGTCTCCCAGATGGAAGATTAGGGCAGCCCTGCCCTTTTCTTAGCTATTACATGTAGCCATGCACCTCACTTCAAAGTCAGTAATCTGCATGAATTAGTAATGAAGGTAACTAAACTAGTGTGGGTTATACAGCAGCAAAAGATCAGCAAGTGTTCCATCATTTGCACTCAGGGTGGTAGTTAGGCAGCAGTAACAGCTTTAATTGCTGTAACTAGATCTGAAGAGTCACTCTGCCCATACTCAGGTTTGCGGCATACTAACTTTCATGAAGTTAACCTAGTTTCAGGTGACCCCAGCAGTAGTTTTTCATCTTGGAACATCCCACAGAGGTTATAAACTCTGAAAAGCTGAGACTCTCCAGTTTAGCTTAAAGTTTCCTTTCTCTGCTCTAAAGAAAAAGCTCAAAATGGAATAAACCAGTAAGAAATTTTTAGAAGCCTGAAAGCAATAATCATAACTTACCCTGATAGACTAAGCATCAAGATGCACATGTTCTGAGCAATAAATATACTAGAAACCAAATCTGTTATGAATCAAGTACTCTTTCCGCCCCTCCCCACAGACTATGTCATACTTACTACTTAATAAGTTGTCTAACACATTCACATCCAGGTCTGTGTATGTTCTTTGCTGCTGTGCTACCAACTGACAAAAGTTCTGAGCAGCTTTTACTATGTCTGCTTTTCCATCTTCTGGAGACAGCACCTTCAATGTAGATTGGCAATTTAAAACTGAAAGTACAAAACACAGTTTAAAAGCAACAGAAATATAGTTGTTTTGAATGTGCTTTAGGTATTCAGAGGATAAGACTGAAAGTAGCATAGTTTACTTCATATATTATTCAACAAGTCATAGATATACCTCATCCAGCTCTTACAGAAGTGGTTAAGATTCTTCTGGATTTGCTGTATTACTAAAATGCAAGTTGAAGACAACTACTTTGAGACGTCTTGTGAAAAGTGGTTTAATTAACATCAGTCTTGAAATGTAGAGTATTCTAGGGAGTTTACACTGTTTTTTATGCTGTCAGGCAAAGCAGTGAGAGGAAGTAGAATGTAGAAAGACTTGCAGTTCAGGGAAAGAAAAGAGAATCTAATTGCTAGCCCAGAAGGTGTTTTAACAGCTCTTGTGAACATTCATGTGACAAAATGATTAGGCTGAGGCCCTCCCTGAATATGATCACAGGATCTTTCAGCAGCACTTCAAAATTGATGTAAGAGTTATGATATTGCTGCAGAGATTCTTGGAACCAGATAATAGTACCACAATTCACCCACTAATCTGTAATTATGTCTGTGACTTAAGAGGACATTTCACAAGAATCTCATAGTCTATACGTAGTGACTCTTGCCTCACAGTAGTGACTTGCATCATTGTCAGTTCTGATAAGGTACTTCAGAGGTAAACTTACAAGGAAGTTAAAGGCTACAGATAGTTACTTCAAGCTAGGTTTTGTACACTGAGTTAAATAGTGTGTGGACACATTAGACTTATACAGAACTTACAATAGTTATAACCAGATACTTAAAAATAGTATTTCCTGAAACTGCAGAATCTGACTGCAAAGGACCACAGAATAAGAGTCAGAAGACTCATAAGGATGCCTAAAATACCCCCCAGTCTATCCAAAGCCATCACAGTGAAAACAACTGTTTAATTTGTCATATGTCCTATGTTAGACAAGAATTCTCCAACAGTATTCATAAGTGTAAGACGTCATTTTACTTCTCAGAAGTGAAAAAATGTGGTTTAACATTATGAACTAGACAGATGTCAGCTTGTTCAGTTTAAAGTATGAAGTTTCTGATCTGACTATGGATCCTTCTAAGTAAGAACAAAAATTCTGAAGAGAACAGAAAGAACCTCTGCTTTTCTTTTCATAGTTTCCAACACAAAAGGTTCCTGAGACTTAAATATATCCTTTCAGTCAGCAAGTCTAAGTAGTCTTTCAGTAGTTCATTTGGTCTGGATGTAAATATCTCCGATTTAGGGAAGTGAAGCTAAGTAGTATGCTGGAGTTTGAGACATTAACAGCCTGTCTACCCCATTTTCTGCTGGTTATTTCAACATCCACAGGATTAAAAAAGAAATAACATGAAACTTAGGTGTTCCCATGTAAATGCTAGCACCTTAGCCTAAGTTACTTGTAAGGCAAGTTTATGCTACAACATTGGACTTTATATGGGAAAACTGACACAAAGGATCTCGCCATCCTATCAGCTGTTGTAAGGGAAGCAAAACTCAGCCAGCAGCTAAATGTTCCAAACCAAACCATTCTATGACAGGTATAGTCTTTTCTTAAGTCTTGAGCTATGTGATATTATTCTTAGAATATAAGGGTTGGGGTTTATTATGAGACCAATTTAAGTGTTATGAGTTGCAGTTAGGAGAGCTGTAAGTATCAGCCTATCCCTCTAAGGTAAAGGCCTGCTTGAGATTTATTACCTTTTGAACAGACTTCTAGCATTCACATTCGCACACCTAAACAAATACTTACAGCAGATAATACTGATAAGGAACATTAACCTTGAAACATATTCCTGTTTTTCACTTCCACTACATGCAAAAGCTGATATCAGAGATACTTTTTTTTTTACCTTATACTCTTTATTTTCCTGGTGTCATCATACACTGCCATGACAACCAGCAGTTTTGCTCTTTCCCTTCTTCCTCACGACTCAGAGTTATAAGTTTGGAAAGATGGAAGTGTGCGCATTGTTAACTTGATATCAGTTCCTTTACACTTATTCCAGTGCTTTTTCAACTCACTCAGCAGAAGAATTAATCTCACTGAAACTGGGGAGTTGAGCTACAGTGATGCATTAAAGGGGTCATAGCACAACAGCTGGGCTAAAGGGAACATAAGACTACCCAATAACGACCACTATGGGAAAGAGCGCCACACTGTCACTGTTAGTTAAGAACAAATAAGCACAATGCAAGTTAATACTGGCTCAGGAAGGTTGCATGTGTTCTGATAATCAGCGCTTACTGAAGGAAAAGGTCACCGTACACAGGAATGTGTTTGAGTAAAAGCAGAGTTAGGATTTATATACAGCTAGAGTCATACCAATCCCCATTGCAATTCATCTTACCTTGATCAGCTTTGTCTTGATTTGCAAATTCCACGGTATACTTGGAGCAATCTAGTCCTAAGAGTTCTTGCTGCTGTTTTAAAATTTCATCCATCAATCTTGAATTATTCCTCTTGAAAATACCTTTAAAAAAGGTTGCATGTCAGCCAACTCCTATAAAGACTGCTACATAATAAATCTGACACTAGGCAGGAAGAAAAAAGAATCAGGTGGTCAGTACTGGTTTCAAACTGGAGTTCACAAGTATGATAAAAATCTAAAGCAAATGCTACTTCGAGTGACTAATTTCAGTGACCTTGGAAAGACAACACATGCTTTTGTTCCTCTTTCACTTAGCCTGGTTTAAGTAGCAAGCTGCAATTGCATAAGAGATAGTTTAAGACTTACTCCATCGTCCTTACTATGCTAGCAATAGTTTGAGATAGCAATAATCTATCAGCATAGGACTACCAAATCATATTAACACTGAGTTTCTTTAATGCCCGTGCTGCTGTAGATTTGCAGCTTAAATCTGCTACCACTTACTGCCACGCCACTAAGGCTGCAGGCTAACAAAGCAAGTCACCACAAAGAACCACCAGAAAAATAAATCAGCACATCAGGCTACAGCAACTGTCCGCTGTTATGCCATGGCAAATGCTACAGATTTCCTAATAAGATTTCACAAGCTGTGTATTTCAAGGAGTTAATGCAGTCCCCAAGACCTTTTTATACTTACATGTTTATAGAAAACACATTTTGAGTGCAGGAGATTACAATAACTTGCTTAACCAAACACACTTGGGTTCCTGTTCTAAAATAAATTCTAGCTCTTAAGACATACAACTCTAATTAAAAACCACAGTAAAAATTAAGTGTGGCAACTTAAATATTTACAATGCAAAAGCGTGGCTAGGCATATTTACTTAGGAACTGATAGCACTTTTACCACACTGTATTCAGGGCTGTTACTAAGAGCTTAAATTTCATTCAGTAATCTTGTATGTCAAGCACTTCTGTTGACCAGTCTAAAAAATACCCACACAATAATCTTACAAGAAACACTGAACTCGTACACAATTTTATGATCAGGCTTATGATTCAACACCTCACCCCGATTCTGGAATTAAACTACTACAAACAGCAGTCTCCACATCAGTAGTAGCCAGATAGTGTATACAAGTATTGGGTTAAAACTATAATACATTAAGGGTTAGTTTGCAACATGAGGTAATACAACACATTTATTTACTATGGTAGCCTTTAGGCCTAGTGGGTTAGTATTTTTACACAGCCTTCATCAGAGGTTTCAATTGGTGGTAAAGTATCTGGTTTTCCTCTCATCCTGGATCCTTCCCACAAAAAAAAAAAGTTTACTTCATTACACAAGTGTTAGTGATGTTTATAACTGATTTCACATTTGGACAGACAAGCAAATCTCACTAAGACAGCAACCTTGACAGAAGTGTTAGAATATTTCCACTAAACCTAAATTGCTACACTTTGTGTTCCTGCCTCCTAGTGTATATTTACACATATTAGAAGTTGAGAATGTTGATTTGAATAATACTGTTTGATACAACTCTGCTTGGGTGTTTTGTGCTAGAGCTCGCACTGATTGTCTTCCTTACACTTAGGTCAAAAGCAATGCAGCTACTGCAATTGCTAATCCCACAAGATCTTCAAGTAAGAACTGTACAAGTTTGCATGTGCCTCACCTCTAAGAGTCACTTGACTTTCATCCACTTTTCAAGATAAAAAAAACCCTATGTTCAATATTCAGAAGAGTTGGCATAACTAGGAAAGGCTCCCAGTCTGGGAAATAGCTGCTCTCTTCTTCCCCTGCACCACCCAAAATTAAGACAAATTCTTTTCTCATGTGAAGTTGTTGCCTATTCCTGTCAAAGACTGGAAGAACAGATTTCAGAATCCACACTCCAGCTCTAAAGTAAATGAAGGAACAGGCAATAACAGGGTAGGAGAACAGACTAAGGTGCTTACTGCTCAGTAAAAAGGAACATCAGATGAAGGACTCTGTTCAGCTCTGAGTTGAAGGTCCTTAGCACACACAGTGGTTACTGAAGACATGAGATTTATCTGAATACCACCAGCATTTCCCTTCCACTCTCCTCATTTACCTCACATACCTCATTAGTTTTTCAAACCTGGGTACTGTGTTGCTCTTAACAGCAGATTAACACAAACTGGAAGCTACCATCATTAGAGTATGTCCTTCTTGGAAAGACCTCCACAACTAAATTCCAACAGATCTACCAACTTTGACACACCTGCAGTTTTCCTGAAGAGAAGATCCTGAAGCACATGAAGAAGGTAGTAAACATCCAAACTAACCAAAATGTTAATTTAAAACCAGTAGCATTTGTGAACTTTACACCTTCAATGTTTTGTCTCTCAGTGCACAAGAGTTGTTTTACTTTCAAATGCCTATGATGGCAAACACAGTCCTGCCAGAGGCAATGCATATGGGCCAAATCCACTTAAAAAGTTTTACATGGGTGTGACTCAAAACAAACTCCCTTCCCTTACAGTATCTCAAAAATCCATTTGCCTAGAAGGTTCGTTTTACAAAACTTTGAAAACCCATCCAAGTTAGCAACAGCATCTTCTAGAACTAATTTATACATGATAAATATAGTAAACAAGACTACATGAGTACACCAACTCACTAACAGAATTCAAGTGTTCCTAGGCAGCAAGACTTAAATCCTGGTTTAATGCTACCTTCTAATTTTGTTCAGTGTTCCACATAAGTTGAAAGCATGTCCATAATACAGTTTTAACATTATAGAGAGTTAATGTTTGACAAGAAGTCCAATAAATTTTAGCAATACAAGTGTTGGGTGTTAAGTGGGGAAAATTTCAGCCCTACTGCTGTTCCTAATATGGAACACAAACATGAAATTATCACTATCATTTCTCATTAGAAAAAAATTGTCTCTGAAAAGCAGAAACAGTTTTGTTCAGTCAGAATTCTGTAGTCTCTGCAAGCTGCTGCAAATGTGTATATTCCAGCAAATGAAGTGTTAAGCATTATGCATATTTAAGCACTATTATTCCCAAAGCAAAACATCAGGTGGGCTTTTGGTTTGGTTCTTTTCAGTGTTTTGGGTTTGGAGTTTTTTTGTTGTTTGTATTTTGGGTGTTTGGTGGTGTTTTTTTGTTTGTTTTTGGGTTTTTTTTTAAACTACTGAGAACTTGTGAGCTGTTTCCAGGGATAATTCTTGTTTTTACAACGCAAGCTGCAAACCTGCTGTTGATCATTAGTTCCCATTAGAGTTGAGGGAAAGAACTGGTTTAGCTTCCTGCAATAGTGCTCCATGACACAGGTCTTTTGCAAGGAACATGCCTTCTGCTCAGTTTTACAATAATTACAAGCCATGCCCCTTTCGCAGACAACTGTGGTGGTGCAGCATTTTAGGGTTAGACTGACAAATGCAGTTTGTAATTAAAATGCTGCAAGTTCAGCAGAAGCAAGGCTCAAGCATGACAGGAACTGCGAGCTGGAGGGGAACAACTGGAATAGAGAAACACCAGGTGTTGTCAACCATTTGTTTGTCCAGCTAGACTATCACAGCCACCACCTGTTAATACCTTGGTAGCATCTCAAAGTTCAACATCCCTGCTCACCCTGTTTTTTAAAGCAGCAGAATCTGGTAAAACACAGAATAAGAATCACCTCTTCCTTGCAAGGGAACACCTTAACCAAAGTTAAGCCTAAGAAAGAATACATTTTCACAGCATTTCAGTTATTTGCTTTTTCTCAACTCCTTTCCAGAGTCAACAGGGGAAGAGTCATAAGGTAACAAATCTATTTAAAGCATCAAAGTATTAACAGTTTGAGAAATGTCAAATCATAATCCAAGTCAAATAATGTACATGCAATAAACTGTTTTAATACACAAACAACTTCTGTGTACATCCCTGTTGGATCATGCTGGTTGGTAACAAAGGAAAGCAGGGTTTGGGTCATTACACTGGACCTCACAGGATACTGAAAGCTAGAAAAATGTTTTAAGCTTGTCTATTAAAAAAAAAAAAATAAAAAAAAAATCCAGGTTTGAAAGTGGCTGAAGTCACATCTGTTTCACCCACATTAAAGACACTTAAACTAGTGCTAACCAAATAGGAAAAACTCAAATTAGAACTTAAAACCTCGTAAATGACTGTTTGTCCCACATTTCTTCTTGGAGGAACATTCTGTACCAGAATAAAGACCTCATCAGCAATTGTGAGAAGAGAACTTACTTTTATATTACCCATGCCAATAAGGAGATTACCTTCTACAGATTAGCATTAGTCCTTTTAATAAATGTGGTCCAAGGACTCCTCCCAACTCAACACTGAAACACAACTGTTGAATGTAGAAGTTCCACATGGGTGAAGATCCACAGCAGATGTCACATGATACTGGTATATCACAAGTGTACCAGTGACACAAGACCAACACACTTATCTCCCCCAGTGAAGTGAACACACTGAATATCCCAAAAGTTTGATGGATTGATCAGATCAGCTAAACCACCAACTAATTTGGTAGTGACTACAAGTCTACATTTGAGGCTAATGAAATAATTTCTTTTGCTTACTGCAGTACACTATCCTTTCAAAAAATTTCTAAGAGAAAATTGGTCAGAATTAATGCAGTTCAGTGGAAAGGTAAACACAGGATGAAGAAGCCCGAGTTCTCAATACAGTTGCACTATGGGCTTTAAGAAACCTTCAACCTGAAGCATCTGTTCAGGAGCCCAAAGTACTCAAATGCCAAGACTCAGCAAGCTCCCAAAAAACGCTCTAGACTTGTCCCAAACTAATTCAGGAAAGCTTCACTGATGGACAGAAGCTAACACTCAAGTACTTTGCCACACTCAAGTTGCAAAGGAACTTTAACAGAAGAAAGTTCAAGTATATAACTGGTCAAAGGCTTCTGCTCCCCAGATGATATTTTAACTATGACTATAGAATTGCACAATCACTGCCTTCTGACTTTGAGAAGCCTGCATTATTTCCTCAGAGATAAAGTCCTGACCAGCATGGCTGGAATTGTACTAACAATAGGATTGGCAACAGAAGTCCATAGAAATAAATCCTTGATCAAAAAGAGTTTTAGTCAATCTGGATTTAATAACTGAGGTGTGCCCAGTAGAATTAAGTTTATTATAGCTTTATTCTACTGCATATCAATGAAAATTGGGAGAATGCAAAGGTCCTTGAAACACCAAATGCAGTAGAAGCATGTAAAAGCATGCCACCTTAGGCCTCCAAACCTGCTGGAACAAGGGGGTCAAACCTCAGTTTTAAGTACTGCAACTCATAGCATCATTTATTTATTACAGTACAAGACAGTTACTTACATTATGGTCCTCTTGCATTCTGCAAAGACCTTTTTACCCCAGTCTTCCAGCATAACTGATCATTATGGATTCAGAGAAGACAGTCAAGTACCTGATCATATTGCACAAGTATTATCCAATATATTTGTAACATACTGGGTTCTGTAATTGCCCAGGAGAATCAGCACAACTCCAGCCAAGTTGCCCTTACAGTTGCTGTAACATACTAGTGTCACCTGGGATGCAGCTACTTATTCTGACAACAAAGAACACAGTCACAACCTTCTATTTAGTAATTTTGTTAAAAGTACAGAAATTTACAGCTATAAACAAATGAACAGCTTATCTGGCACTTTTTAAAGAACTTCATGCTTCCCTCTCTTCCTACAGAGGGGGCAATTAAGGACATGTTTTTAATTTAAGCCTTCTACAGGAAACTGACACAGTATTTCTTCCAGAAAATGCAACCATGGAAGACCATTGGTAATCAAAGTTTCCTGTTATAATAAGAAGAATATCAGTACTACAAATATGCAGCGAAGGAAAAGGAAACAATCTTAAGTATAACCCACTATGTCTAACACAGATTCAGAGCGCTTGTCATAGCGTTTCCTTCTTCACCAAAGCCAGCCATCAGTGGGAAACAACATATCTTTGATAAGTCAGTAGTTGGTACAATTTATGCACACAGAACCTTAACTGAAGCAGCTGGGCAGACCAAAAGTAAATCTCACCACCAGAGAAGATGAAAACAAGTGCACAGCATCATTAAGGTTCACCCTCTGCTACTGATAGGAGCAAGCTGCACCTAACTTCACCCACCTTCACAATATACCAGTGTTACTGCTGAGGGCTCCAGACACTGGATTTAGCAACAACTGCAACACCCTACTTAATGACTACCTGGAAATGCTGCATGTTCAATCCAGGCACCATAAGGAGCTTAGCACCAAAAGAAAGTCAACATATCTGCTATCACCAGAAGTACGTATATACTCAACCCTCATGAATGACTACTTGCTTGCTCTCTGAAACCAGTTTAAAAGGCTCAGCTGACAAGACGCTGTGCAAAAACCAGTTATGGCTGCTATCCCAGAAAACCTATTGAACATCCATAAAGAACATGCATGTGTAATGGCAGGCTATTCTTATTGACTCTAAAAATTTGGCAAAAGCCACTGATTTAAAATGTTTTAGCTGCTCTGCATTGCCTTGCCTTCTTCAGCTATGTTCCAACAGTCCGTAATTTAAGATGGCAATTAAACCACCATATTCTGGTATCAAAGGGCCAACAGAACAATGAACTACTGAAAAGCATTATGTCTTGATACTAAAGTCATGAGATCACAGCAATATTTTCAGATTTTAAGCTGTTAACAAAATCTCTTAACATGCAACTTTAGCATGAATGTAACACACAGAAACAGCAGCATTTTTTTTCTGAACTGCTAACAAAGACAACTGTTTTGCAAGGTTACTTCAGCTATGCTGCTCTTCAGAGGACATAACCTTGTCATTTCTGGTCATCATATTAAACAGTCTTGTAATAAGTCAGTCTTATATCTGACTCAATCTTGACACATGTTCTGGAGAAGCAGAAATATCTTCTCCACAATGGAGGCATCAGACACAACACTGGTTCTTCCCCGTCAGAGAGGATCTCAGTGACAGTGGCTACCTAAGCACTGGCTGGTACCTTCTCCTGTCCCAGTGTTGAATGGTTTCACAGAGAGCAAGCCAAAAACCAAGACCACCAAGACACATGAGTTTCAGCTGGATCTGTTCCTCAATTCATTCCTCCTACATATAATTTGTGCAGCACAATGTAGAGATCTAAAAAGGAACTAAGCATACACACATATTAGGCAATACTGCAGATAGCTTATTTGAGGTTTGACAGAAATTAAAGATGCTATACAATAAAATGTTTCTCTTCAGGCTATGAGGGAAACTCATCCTTGTTTGGTATTGTTTGCTCTGCAGCATTTATCCTGACTGCTTTCCAAGTGGAGAGCAAAAAACATCAACACATAAATGGTTTTTCAGAAGGTGCTGACTTTTCCGTGTCCTTGAGATGTTACGTAAATATTGTATACCATTCTTTGATTTTCAAATGAGGAAGTATTCTCCCACTGAAACACAACATAACCAAGTTCCACAAGAGCCCTGCACAGATGGCCAATTTAAACTGCCAAGTGACTGGTATTAAGCCCAGTTTCTTAAAAAGATCTTAGAGAACTCAGTGAAAGTCAAGTCATTCAAGTCTTGTATGACATACAAAGGACAAGACATGAAACAGAACTTTTAACAGCAGGTTTTAAAAAAAAAAAAAAGTCACAAATGCCTATGCTCAGGGAAAGGTCTGCATACCTCAGATGCTTCTGCACACTTGACAATACATTCCACCTACTTACATGGGACACACTGTTGAGTTTTTCCTGAGAGCGCACTGGAAGACAACTATTACAGACTGTACTTCTAACCTGGCATAAATCTACATTAATCTAATTTGCGTGACATCTCTAGACAGCCGATCAGATGTATTACAGAATTATTTGGGTCAGAAGGGACCTTAAAGCTCATCTAGTTCGAAACCCCCTGCCAGGGGCAGGGACACTTTCCACTAGACCAGGTTGCTCAAAGCCCCATCCAACTGGGCCTTGAACACTGCCAGGGAGGGGGCAGTCACAGCCTCTCTAGGTGCCTCACCACCCTCACAGGAAAGAATGCCTTCCTTATATTATAATCTAAATCTTCCCTTGTCAGTTTAAAACCATTAACCTTTGTCCTATCACTACACTCCCTGATCAAGAGTCCCTCTCCATCTCTATGTCCCCTTTAGCTACTAGAAAGCTGCTCCAGGGTCTCCCCAGATCCTTCTCTTCTCCAAGCTGAATCACCCTAACTCTCTCAGCCTGTCCTCATAAGGGAGGTGCTCCAGCTCACTGATCATCTTCATGACCTCCTCTGGACCCACTCGAGCAGGTCCATGTCCTTGTGTTGGGGGCCCCAGAGCTGGACACGGGACTCCAGGTGGGGTCTCACAAGAGCAGAGTAGAGGGGGGAGAATCCCCTCCCTTGACCTGCTGGCCACACTTCTCTTGATGCAGCCCAGGATACGGTTGGCTTTCTGGGCTGCGAGCGCACATTGCTGGCTCACAGTCAGCTTTCCATCCACTAATACCCCCATGTCCTCCCCAGGGCTCCTCTCAATCCACTCATCACCCAGCCTGTATTTGTGCTTGGGATACTTGGCCATGTTGAACTTCATGAGGTTTGCAAGGGCCCACCTCTCCAGCCTGTCCAGGTCCCTCTGGATGGCATCTCCCTTCCCTCCAGTGTGTCAATCACACCACACCGCTTGGGGTTGGAAAACTTGCTGAGGGTGCACTCAATCCCACTGTCTGTGTTGCCAAGAGACGTTAAACAGCGCTGGTCCCAACACTGACTCCTGAAGAACGCCGCTCGTCATGGCTCTCCACTTGGACCACTGAGCCATTGACCACAACTCTGAGTGTGACCATCCAGCCCATTCCTTACCCAGGAAGTGATCAACCCAGCAAATCCACGTCTCTCCAATTCAGAGACAAGGATGTCATGTGTGGCAGTTTCAAATGCTTTGCACAAGTCCGGGTAAATGACATCAGTTGCTCTTCCCTTGCCCACCAACACCGTAACCCTGTCACAGAAGGCAACCAAATTTGTCAGGCACAATTTGCCCTTAGTGAAGCCCTGCTGGCTGCCACCAGCCACCTCCTTATTTTCCATGTGCCCTAGCATAGTTTCCAGGAGGATCCACTCTGTGATCTTTCTGGGCACAGAGGCGAGACTGACTGGTATGTAGTTCCCTGGGTCTTCTTTTTTCTTTTTTAAAAAAATGGGTCTATGTTTCCCCTTTTCCAGTCAGCAGGAACTTCATCAGCCCATCACAATTTCTCAAATATGATGGATAGTGGCTGAACCACTTCATCCGCCACTTCCCTGAGGACCCATGGATGCATCTCATCAGGTCCCAAGTAGCTCACACAACAGTTAAACACTGATCTTCCTACAGTCTCACCATTGACAGCAAGAACACAGGGACCTTTAACATGAACCTTTCTCCTCTGGAGAGGACAGAAACAGGATGCAGTCCATCTCATGTGTTATTAGCCCTTCCGAGTTGATTAATTGCAACTAGACAAACTGAAATAGTCTCTCAACAGCCAGATAGGAAGCTTCACCTAATAATATCTTGATATGGCTGGTTTCATCTCCTCAGTAGGAAAGGATAGGTATGAGGAATACATATTTGTTCCACGATTACTCCACAGAATGCTAAATCTGAACTCTGAGCTTATCTTTAAGATACTCAGTGACGTGGAATCAATGTATCCACCTGGCGGCCGCTGCTGGCGGCGACCCCTGTCTGTGGCTGGGGGCGGGAAGCGAGGGGTGGCAGCCCGCGCGGGGACGGGGCGTTTGGGAACAGCCTCGCTAGTCGTAGTTTAGCTTCGAGCCTCCTGCTTTTCCTGGGCCGTTTCAGGGGCTCATCTGAAGACCGTCCCTGTGTCCAACCCCGTCCCTTGGCCTTCTTGGCGCTCGAAGCGCCTCCTTCACGGTGGCGTTCAAAATGGGGAAATCTGAGCACCTCAGAGGCAGCCGGGCCACACGGGTGTCTTTATGAAACAACACGTTTCACCCGCAAAGCACACTGCAGATACTCGCTAGGCGGTTCCGCAGAGTGGGCGTGGGAAATGGGGGTAGCACAGCCCCTGGAAACCCGTTGAGCTTGCCCCTGCGGTGGCCCAGACAGTAAGGCCTCAGGAGTGCACACCTTGTTTCGAAGTCTCCCACAAAACCTGCAGTTCCCAGGTCTTTGCGACCTTGGCTTGTAACGTCCCACAGATCCAAAGATGCAAATCCCACTGCAGGCAAAAGATAGAGCAAGAGCTGACAAACTAGCCCTGTGCCGTCAGACAGATGGGTGGGCTGAAGTGACAGGGAGATATTTAAAGTGCTCTATTAAAAGAATCCACCAATATAAAATTGAATGAAAAATTCTGTGAAAATGTTTTTCTTGCTAACTACTTCCCAGACTTCTAATACAGACTGACATCAGCCATCAAAAATAACACAGTCAAACCACGAGGAAGACTTGTGCTATTCCTTAAATAGCTAAATCCTTAGCTACCAAAACTTTGGATGGCTGATGATACGTTAAAAGGTTAAAATGTAAAGAAAAATGAACTTCAGTCTTCTCAGTTGTATAGCTTAATGTGTTGGGTGCCTAAGAAACCCAAGTGTCAATTGCTTTTGCATAGGCAACATAACCAAATAGCTGCACTCTGGCACCTGACAAAACAGCCTCTGTGGATGTGAGTGATTACTCAGTTACTGAATGCCAACAGAAGATAAAGAACAATAGAAGCTGTTTGCTTGGAAAAGTAATTTGCTGGTGTTATTACTCCTCAGTTATCAGCTGAGATTTATGAACTGTCAGGAAACCCCTTAGATTACTGTTTGTAAGTCACTGGTTTTAGGGGTCTCAGCAATCCAATTCTGTTTAGTTTTCAAGCACTTTGTGAACTGCTTGATAAAATTTGTACATACATCAGAATTGATGCATATACCATTAAGTCCTTTTCTTGGTGTGCAAAAATCTGGAAGGTTCCTGCCAGTGAAGGGGGCCACTTGCAGTGTATACTCCCATGTGAAGTACACCTAACCCAAAAGTATACACACAGCATCTTGAGCTATACTGTAGTCAATTAGTTATTCAGCTACCAAAATAAACTCTTCCAAAAACTTTGTCTCACTTGATCTTATCCTAATATTTGGCAGAGGTAAAGATATATTTCCTAAGAATCTCCCTTCTGCTTACAACAGAATCAGGTCAAGTTGACCTCAGTGTTTTCATTCCTTACTATTACTTAACTTTGGAACTACTATTAAATCTCATTAACAAGGACACTGATTATTCTGTTTGTTGCATTTTCTGTGATGAAAATGAACCTTCTGTGTTTTGCCTGGAGCTCAGATAATTTAATTTAAAATAGTCTAAAATAAATAAAAGAACCAAATATTTCAGGAAAACTGAAATTCATTTCTCAAAAGCAAGAATCTTGGAACAATCCTGAGAAATTGCCCACATCAGTGTAAGTCTCCATCTTGAACTGCATGCAGACCTGTGAGTTTAAATATGTTAAATGCCAGACTCCTAGTAATAGTATCTTGTGGTATTGCAGGATTTATTATTTTTTTATGCAACTATAAGAATGTTCTACTATAAAAAGGTCCATACAGAGTTACAGGCTGTTCTTCTAAGAGATAGTAATTGTATTCTGAGTTCCCTCAAACTATACAGTACTAATAGCATAGAAAAAACAATATTTTTTTTTTTTTTTATGATTTCCAGTTTACAATGGCATCTTTACTACAGCCCTTCTGTCATCAGCTATTGCCTCTTACAGTACAAATTAAAGAGGAAAAGTTAATGGCAGACCAGAAGGCTGGTTGTCAGTAGAGACACTGGTGGTAGGGAGCAGCTCTAGACAACTTTAAGGTTCACCATAGATTAACCATGGGATTAATCTAATTCATAATCATAGTAATCATCATCTGTGTTTACTCCAATGCTGGAGGCTTCACTGGGTTTCATTTTCTTTCTGTCCTCTTTGCCTCTTTCCATGGAAGACAGATTATCTTCACACTGCTGAAGAATCTTTTTGGAAGACATCCAACTTTCTCCTCGGCTTTCTGCTGGCGCCGCACACTGCCCTCCCCTGACATCCGTTCCTTTGGCCACCAGCGCTCTCCTGGTTCTGAGAAGGTCACAGGTGCAGTTCCAAGGGTTTCCATCTAAATACAGATGACGAAGACGAGGTAAATACTCTAAGACTTTGCGATCCAAGGCAGATATTTTGTTATTCCGTAAATTTAAAACCTGAAGCTGTTTCAAGTCCTTCAGCTCTTGTTCTCCAACATCCTCTATGTCATTTCCCTTTAGATCCAATCTAGCAAGGGTGTCTGGAAGTCTGGATAAAAATAAAACAACACAAAGACGTTACATTCATCATCATATTATTTCTCTTTGTGTAAAAGGTCTTTGGTGGTATTTGCCCAGGCACATCTGACATATTAAAATAAAACTATCACTAAGAAAAAATGCAATCTTCTGAAAAAAAAAAAAAAGAAAAAAAAAAAGTGGTCCTGAAGTGTCTTTTTTTTGTTGTTGTTATTGGAATACTGTCTATGCACACTTGAACTATTTTCCCACATTATTGCTGTTCTGACCTGTATTGACTGTGTTTGTGCAACTGAACTAAACAGCAGTCCTACTATACTGTACTATGAAGAAAGTTATATGTTCAATTAAGTATCAAGCTAAAAAATGCATTTTGTACCCTTCAGTGCCATAAATATGCCAATGACCAAATTATAGCACCATGAAAGCTCAAAAGTTTAGGGAAGCATGGCAACACTGCTCCTTCAAGTACTTCTGTACATGATTTGTTTAAAAAGTTTTCTAGCTGATAAAGAACTGGATTTTTCTTCCATTTTGCTCTGCTCCCATCAGATTCAAACATTAATCATCACAGAAGTAGTCCATCTGATGGTATCCTGTTTAAGAAATCAGCAACAGGGAAAACAGAAGTGATTTTTCATGGTCTTTTTAAATAGCATTTCAGAGAATTAGAACTGTTTAAATTTTTTAAAAACCCAAACAAACTTGATAGTCTCTGGATATAATACTAGACCGGTCAGTATCATTCTTATTTTCATACATCTTACAAATTTGTGTAAGGCTGTTTTATTTCAAAAGTCTTGCTCATTTATGATCTTCTAATTTCCTCCTGCTGTAGTTATTGACAAGTGTTTAACAGAAAAGTCAGGTGATTGGCAGGGAATATTTTTAATAAAGGTAATTTCAAAGTACCTTAAAATTGATTTTTCTATGGTAGTGTGAGAGGTGATGAAATTTAGAGTCATGGTTAGAGATTTTAAGGAAACTCATTCACTGAAACTCTCAGGGAAATTACAAAAAATACTACTAAGAACTATTTAGAGTAGAACAGCAGTATATCACAACCGGTAAAGGATGATGTGATTATTTATCTCTATGTAATGATATGAGATACTTTTGAAAATTACGAAGAGGATACATTGTGACCCCTACCGGCTGTTTTTTGTGAAGCTCTGTTTGACCTCTTAGGCTGAATTCAGTGTGACTATTTCAAGAGTAGGGCAGTTCTATATTGTGCTGTATTTCCTGAGGGAGATGAGAATTTCCTATGTCAATATGGTGAGCCACTCCACAAAATTTAATCTTACCAAATGCTTGTGACTGCACTAATCTGTTTAGAAAATCTAACCACAGGCAATGATTGCCCAGTATGACGCTGTAATATTAGAAGGGCACTCTAGGGCAAAACTCTAGTGCCACTGATGTCAAAGACAGTAGGTATCACCAGAGATGTTTATGTAGACTGATTACAGTCCAAAGCCTGACGATCAAGCCCTTAAACCTGTGAAGAGTCTTATTGTACTAATGTTAGACTTCGGCTTTATGGCTGTATTGTTTGACTTCAGGCTGTGTTGTTCTTGAGAAAATAATGGCACTGGGCTACTTGATGAGTGATCCTGGTGCTGGCAGAGAAGCTGTGTGCACTTGGGAGCTGACCATGGCAGCTATACTGTGCTGCTGCCACTCCAGGGAGTGTCATCAGTCTCTTCCCTGCATTCTCACTGCTCTCTGCAAGATTTTAAGGAGTATAGGTTCTTCTCTGCCAGTCCTGAAAATGCTTGGACTTCTGGACGGCTTTCTTCTCAGATAAAAACAAAAAAAACTTTATTTCTCCTTATTCCTGCCGAATAACTGCTAAGATCCATAAACTGTGGCACATAGACTATATTTTTTAGCCTTTGACACTGGTGACTGAGTTCTCAGATGTCAGAAGTAATACTTTTATTTCTGTATATCCATGCGTACTTGCTGATCATCAGACAATTAAGTACATATATTTTACATCTTGTCATTTTTTCCCTTTTCTGTGTTTACAGCCTTCCCTTGAAATCTGTATTCATTACTGAGTTGAAAAATAAAAGTCCTCAATATCTCCTTAAAAGCTGTGCTGTTTAAAGGCTAATAGAGAGCTTCTTCCTGTTAATTTTCTTGACTACGAAGGTTGTAAAATAAGATGGATTAGACAGTACTAAAGTAACTAGATAGCATTAAACATTCCTGTCAAGCTAGACTGAAATCAAATATTTATACACCACTAAATCACTTTCTGATTATAAAGCTGCTGCCGAATAGATTCAAATGCTAAAGGACCTGATGCTAAACGAATTGAAATTTTACTGCATTATTTATTTGGGCTAGTTAAACCTGTCCACAAGCCATAAAAATAAAATTTAATAGTGCAGTTGTGTTAAAGAAGTTGATGTTAATGGAATTACTTCGCCATTTTTATGCCATCTTATTGCACAGCTTTTTGAAATAATAAAATTACCACTTTATATCAGACTAGCCTCCATTTGGCTTAATATGCCATCTCTGATAATGGCCAGGACCAACACTCAGATGAATGTGAGAGAAGCTGTAAGCAGGGCATTAATGAACACAGCATGCCCAAGGGATGTTTCTTCTGTGCTCCTTTGGAATTTTGCTTATAGCCTGAAGCCAGAAAGCTTATACACATTCCAAATACTTTGTAATGTGTGAATCTAATGAAGTTGAGAATGCTAATATCCTCTGAAAAACCACATTCTTTTTGACCAGAGTCAGCTCCTGAAATCTTAATATCTGAACAATAATAAACTCAGTGTGGGTTGGTAGAAACATCAGCTTTAAAATTGCTGTCCTTCCTTTTTATTGAATGCTCTATTAATTTTGTGTTATGGGGGAAAATAAATCTAAGCGGCAGTACAACTTCTCTGCAATAATTCTGTTATATTCTCCTAGCAGTTTCCTCTTATTTGTGTGCTAATTAAACAAAGTAGTCTCACTGGCATGGAGAGATGTGAAATGAGTAGATTCACTGTGGGGCCACAGATGTAATGAAAACAGCTCTACTCCTATGCTGAGAGTGCTAACAAGAGTCCCAGTTAGTGCCCGTTATGGCAATGGGTTTATGGTATGGATAGACTTCTACCATGACCAGGTCTGCATACAAATTTTTTTCCAGTTTGGCCCTCATTCTTGTAATGTAAGGAAGGAGAGATGACACCTGGGAACCAGCTGCCCTCAGATTCACTTGCCTCAGCGGAATAGAAATGAGGAGATTCTGTTCCAGCGCCAGATTTGAAAGCTGCGCACACTGCTGAAGAGCTCCTGCCTCAAACATGCTAACAGCGTTGTTGTCAAGAAACAAGTGCTTGAGGTCTTGTAGTCCTTGGAAGTCCTGTGCTGTCACCCTTTGAATCAGGTTATTGCTGCAGTCGAGTTTCTGCAGTCTGCCAGGGAGCCTGAGTGGCATAGTGTGGAGCTGGTTCTTAGAGAGCTCCAGTGTTGTTAAGTTCAGAAGAAGCTGGGCACCGTCTACTGATGTTAGCTGATTTTCTGACAGGAAGAACTCAGACAGGTTTTCTAGGTGTTTCATGTCTCGAAGTCTTACTGTTTTAAGCTGGTTTTTCTCTATTTTTAGTGACAGCAGGGATCTAGGTAGGTCAAGAGGCACTTCTGTCAGAAAGTTGCTGCTTAAACTAAGAAACTGTAGATTTTGGAAAGATGCAAAGAAGTTGGCTGGGAATGAGTTCAGTTTATTATCAGCCATGCTCAGATACTTCAGCCTCGGAAGCTTAAGTGGTGCAGACACAGATTCCATGTTGTTGCCATCCAGAATCAGACTTTGTAAATTGCAAAGGGAAGAAAATGCACTTGGTGGCAGACTCGCAATCAGGTTGTTCCGAATATCAAGCACCCTTAGTTTGATCAAACCTTCAAAATCAGACACATGCAGAGTGTTGATGAAGTTATCAGCGAGTTTTAAAATTTCAAGACCAGATGGGAGGAAGGTGGGTATTTGCTTTAGCTGATTTTTGTAGAGTTCCAGGGACTTCAAGGTGCTCAAAGCTTTGAAAGTGGTGTTTTCTATTGATTCTGTGCCACTGCATGACAAGACCAGCTCTTCAAGGGCTGACATTCTCCTGAAGTCAGTAATCTTAAAAAGAAAAAAAAAAAATCACATGATAGTATACCATCTATTTATGGATCTCCTCACTGGTTACTTCTGGATGCTTTGACAATTGCTAGTATGTATTGAGAAACTGTATATTTAGAATGAGAAACTAAGGGAAGTGGTAACGATAGAGGTGTTACTATGGGTACCTGCGGTTTGCCAGTATTTACTTACATTTCTAGAATTTTCTTGTTTAAGTCCATATTGTGTCTGGTTTTCAGCCAACACACATGTTTGAAGAAGGAATATTCCTTTTATTTCTGCCTAATGCATAGCTTATATAAAATGGAGAGCTAATATCACCAGTGGCAGAAATCTCTGCAGAGAGTAGATGGTTGTTAATGTTCACTGCATTCAGTGGAGCTTGCTGAAGCAGGTTTGAGTTCATCATACATCCATTTCCATATATCAGCACTATTGTCACTGCAGTGTGTATTCCCCAGAGGAAATGCACATGGATATCATCACCTCTCCCTATTGTAAAGTTTTGGCAGGAAATTAAAATCTGACACGTGCACTTCTTCTGTTCCCCCACTATCTCTCCTTTTCTTTCAGTAAAAACTCACATATTAAGATGATCAAACCAAAAGTGTCAAATCAGCTTGGTCTGAAAGTCCTCTGTGGAACAGATTGCTTTTACAGGAACTTAGTTTTTGTTAGTTGGTAATAAAGAGATGCTTTGCAGTGGTAAATGGAACTTAGATGTTGACTGTGACTATAATATACAGAGGCATACTAATTGTTTCATTATTTTTCTGCTCTGTTGCAACCTGCTTGTTTACAAAGTTTGCCATTTTATGTCTCAAGTTAAGAAGCAAACTTAAATGAATCTGGCAGTTTCCTCCAAGCCGAAATATGAGGAAACATGCACTGAGGCTGAACCTGGGAGTTCTCCGATACACCAGTTGCTTAAACAGTAGTTTTCTGTAATTATCAGAGATGCTGCCCATTGACTTAGGTGCATGATTTTTAGAAACTCATTTATATGGGAATCACAGAAAGCTCAGAGAAAGATGAGCAGGTGTTCTGCATGGGAGAGGTGGGAAGGAGTGTCCTTACCCATTTTCCCTTCCATTGTCCAGTTAAACATTTCACTGCAGGTCTCAGGAGTACCACATCAGTGAGAGATGTTAAACTAACACTGTAGTCTACATGCTATTTTCCACAGGGCTTAGTAGCTTCCACCACATTTTACTGTCATTGAGAGAAGCTATAGCACGTGTTCTACAACATAACCCCTCATCCCAGTCAGGAATCTACATGGAAGGCAGTACAAGTCCTTTGCAGTGCAGATACTGGGTAGTAATTTTATTCTATGGTCCTGATTGAATACAATTAGCAATTATATTTGTGTATGTGAAATCAGTTATGAAGGTGGCTGTTAAAAGATTCCTTCCAGCTTCATTTATACAACTCTTGCATGTTTTTGGGTTGTAACTCTTCACCCTGGCTACAGACTCTGCATTTTAACTTCTGTTAAAATTAGAGACCACACAACTGTGAAAGAGGAGTCAGATATAATTTTCCTTTGGTATCCTTACCTGTCACTACCTTCTGATTACATTTATTCTGCCTTGTAAAGTCTTTTCTGAACAGTGCAAGATTTGATGCAGTTAGTGAGAAAGTATAGATATGGAATCTCTATTGATGCAGGTTTCTCCATCAACTACATTTAAGTTCAATGTAGGAATATAACTCCATAAAAAAACTTACATTGTCAACAGTAAATAACAAAGTTGTCCATTTTTCTATTTTTTCTGTAAGTGCAGTTTTGTAATATATATATTACTATAAAGCAATTACCTAATTGCATGTCCAGTTTTGGTCATGATTAGGAAGCTAATCTTGCAAAGCTTTTATCATGAGAAGCCCCATAGGAATGGACTGCATTACTCAAGAGCAGAAAGGCATAGTCATGTGTAGGTGATAAAACAGTCTTAAGGAAATTGAAGAGACTGTGAAATTAAATGAACTTCACAAGTTCAACACGTTTTCTCCTTTAAGTTCAAAAGCAGTACTTCCTTTCCCTCAGTTGATTGCTGTATGTCTCTAAGAGGCTTAATTTTCATCTTATTAAGTGACAGAGAGCCATGTGAAGGTCAATGTACAGACATTCATTCTCTGATGATGTTAGGCTTCTTAATGTGGATTATTATAATTTATATTTTCCACCTATTTGGTATGCTTTGCTAGGCTCTGTGACCATGCTGTTTTGAGACTTAAATATTTATCCATGCTGTTACAAACCTCCCAGTCTTCCTAATATAAATCAAGACATATTTGAAAGCATATCAGCTCTCTTTTTGCTACAAAGTGATGTTTTATTCTCTAACTGGACTGTCTGTAAATTGATACTAATATAGTTATATATTTTAAAAAGTAGATCTCCTGAAGATGGATCTAAGACACTGTTATTTTAATTTAAACATTTAAATAATTTTGGTTTTTTTAAATGATCCTTTTCCTTCTTTTAGAATTTTTGTGAACTAGGATTTGTTATAAGCAGTTTCTTAAATCAGTCTGATATTGTGGGAGCCAGATAAACAATTTCCTTTTAACAGCTAACCCCCCATGTATTAATATAGTTAGAAATAAACTAAATCTTAAAGTGAGAATAAACAGGTTATAGTTGGTCTTCAAATCAAGGGGAAGGCAGAAATAATTGAAAAAAAGATGCTAAAATTAATCTAGTTTTGTTATTCTGAAGTCTGTTTATAACAAAAGCCAGTTTGTAAAAATACCAAAAGCAAAAATCCCAGCCAGAGTTTTCAGTAATGACTGAAACTGTCAGTAATGACTTGACCCTGTCAGAACAAACAGAAAGTTGATCTGGGAAAAAAAAATCTACATTTTTTTCTTGTTTTTCTTCAAAACATACTGTATTTAGCACACAAACATGTCTTCTTTTTAATTTCTGTACAATTTTAATGATAACCAATGCAAAGTAATGTCCAAAAGTAACTGGTGCTCAGTTTGAAGTAATTACTGTTTATTCTTCTGAGGCAGTTAATTGCCAAACCATAGTATATGTGAATGCTTACACATAAAAGTCTCTTGGAGGTCAGCTGTGGGAAGGTTAGGCTTCCATTCAATTTCTTTTTGAAAATATGTTATCTTCTTTAAGATTAGGAAAATGAAGGCATTTTTGAAAAAACAAAAAAAGCCCAAATAACCCCTATTGAGTTGTTTTAAACATGTCCAGACATTTACTTTACAAGCAAAAATCAAACCCTGTTTCTATGAGTACCACAATATATATAGTGGAACTTCTCAGCTGTGTAAAATTAAGCATATCTATTTATGATGTCAAGACCTCGGAACCATAATTTCTTGCATGGAAAGAAAAGTGAAAAATATATTCACAGACCCAGTCTAACCTTAAGGAAAGAATCTACATAAATACAGGGAGATAGCATGAAAGGACTTACAGTGCAAAGTCAGTGTGTATAAAGTGAAAAACTTTCTTCTTAGATGGTTTCACGCACCATTTGTTCTGAACAGTCATAAAACATTTATTCCACTACTCTACTCACTTACATCCGACATTTAAATGCTTTATAACATCTATCTTTTGCTCTAGTTAGAATCTAAGGCCACTTTACTTGTAACTGAGGGGTAGCTGACAGGTATGGGCAGCTAGCATAAGAAAGGAGAAATGGCTCATCTTCCTTATCTTGGAAATAAAATAATCAGGGTGGGTTTTTTTTGCAAAGAAAATGTATTTCCTAATAAAGAGTTCATTTGACAGATCTTTTGTTTAACTAGAGTACATCAATATAGCTAAATCACACCAATGAACTTTGACTCTTGTAGGTATGGGAGCTAAAACAAGAAAACCAGAGATAGTAGTAGTGGCTAAAAGAGAAGCAAATTCTTTCTCAGAGTTAAATTGTAAAATTACTGACTATTACTCAGTGGGCAACAGGTATCCCAGATACTGCTCTAAGCTGCCTTCTAACCTATTTCATTCAATTCTGAGAGCAAAGTCAAAGATGCATTTCAGAGCAGTTAGTTACATTCTTTGTATCAGGACAAGCATACTTAAGAGAAAATATATCTCTTTTGAATCAAACATTTAGTATTATTTGTAGTAATGATACACAGCAAGCATGTATAATACAGGCGGTTGTACTTCCCTTGTGTCTATCTGTAGAAGTTGAATCTATTAAATAAATATATTTCAGAGAACAGTTCCAGAGTGCAGTGCAAAATGAGCATAAACTTATCATGCCTTTAATAATGTGACCCAGTGATGCCTCAAGAAACACAGAATAAAAATTTTTAATAACACAGACTGCTGGCATCTTCAGTTAGAAGCTGCTATTGTTTATGTGAGTTACTAGATAAGCCTAGCATTGCTTTTAGAAACAGCTCATGCTCTGCCTTAGACTCTAACTTACTTACTCCCTCTTCTATTTCTAATAGCAGTTGTATTTGACACTTGCAACTCCAGAGAGGGAAAAGAACTTCGGTTTCATTCATTAGGGAAATGATTCTAGCTACAGAAAACCTTTCTATTTACTGTGAAAAAATATTATATTGTAGCAAAAGTAGCAAAAGCTTTTAACAAGTTAAAAAATTACTCTGGATTTCAATGGTTATTTGACCATACAAAAAAACAAGTCAACATTTGGTTCCTTGTTGTAAATTACTATTTTTTGAGTTGCATACAAAATATCATTGTGGCAGCATGAACTGGTGCTCAGAGACTGCAGAATAATGAAACACTATAGGAATATATTTACATATCCTTAAAAAGTAAAAATAAAACCAGATCTGGCAGCATTTCATCCATTTTTAGAACATGGAATAAGATTTTCCTTTCACTTGAAAGCCACCACCATCTGGGAAGCCCAGCTTTTGGTTACAGCGGACTACAGAAAGTATTTTTACTGGATTTTTTCCTACCTGGAGTTGTTTAATTTTGCTGTGACTGATGTAGAGTCTCCTGGTGGTAAAAGGAATCTCTCTGGGGATCTCTGTAGTTCGATAGCATTGCACTGACTGGGCAGGGTCACAGCTGCATCTTCTTGGGCAAGTGGTACTTAGACCACTGTGAAAAGAAAAGAATACTAAAAGGTAAGATAAATACATCTTCCAAAACAGGAGCTCTGAAATTGTCTTGGCAACATACAGCGTGAATTAAGCACCAAAGTCCTTTTATACCATGAAATCTGATAAAAGGATATTATGACTGTGTATTTTATCCCAGTGAAAAAACAGCAAAAACAATACCTTAATTTGCCTGGGTTAAAATGTTGGCAGGCATTACAAAGAGTGAGAAACTTAAACAGTGATAAGGTGCCTTTACATTTGTAGGTATGTGAAATTAGTGTTATTTATTACCTGACATCTAATCTGCAAACATCCATATTATCTCCAGTTTCCTAGTTTTGTTAAATGTGCCACCACAGAATTAGTGGAGAAAAGATAAAGAGCTGTTTTATAGCGGGGCTGTAAAACCTTTGTATCTTCTGTGACCCAGTATTAGAATCAGTAAAAACACAACTACAGCCAACACCGAAGCTTTTTCACTCTTCCTCTTGCATTATTCAGACCCAAGAACACACCACCCCCACCTCGGGCAGCTATTATTTTAAAGCCAAAACATTCTAGTCACTTTCTGAATATCTTTGATACAGCTGAGTGCTGGTGGTTGGTACACATTTTTTAAGGATGAGACGCAAATGTAAGTTACCTGTGTTTGTGTAATTCCCATAAATCAAAGTTTAATTATTATTGTATTTGAAAATTACAAATGTAAAATGCTTGAAAGCATTTAGTATAAATCAAGTGGTAGATGATCAATAAGACCTATTTACCCTATGATAGATGGCAAACATTAAGGTTTCCCTCAGAGTTTTCTCTCTACTTATTAGTGCTTCTTTCACATATCTACTAGCTGTGCCAGCTAGAGATACACAGTTGTGAAAGGCTTACAGTTTGGTTTCTGATTATTTTAGGAACTTTATATGCATTGTTTTTTCCTTTCTACCTCAACATACAAAGGAACATACTCCAGAAAACTCATCATACATGATCTGCTTTGCACTGTTACCTGCTTCATTCCATCGTCTCCATCATATCTTCAGTAGTAGCTAATCCTATTCCTTGAATGCAGAACTAGGCCAGTTATTTTTCCAAGCAGATGATCGATGTCAAGTTGATTTGACAAATGGATAATTGAACTGGGGACAGTCCTCGATTGGAATGCCTATTGGATGCAGCTGGGTTTATACTTGACAATTGACATATTTCCTCCTGGAGATCCTTCTGTGTCCTTAATCCCTTACACTGCGAGTACAGAACTGCAACCCAGCATCTGCTAAAACAGACAGCAAGAGCAGAAACCTTTCCTAAAGCAGCCTGTCAAACTAGTGTGTTTAACAAGCTATCCAGAAAAATCCTGCCTGATTTATGCCATAGTGATCAACTGAGCAAAAATGAGTGGGTGAGAAGGATTAGCAATGATGCTTTAAAACAAATATTTTAACATCTTGATCTAGGGTTTCGTACCTGGTTTGTAGTTTTGCCCTATTTATTTATTTATTTATTTATTTATTTATTTATTTATTTATTTATTTATTTTCCCTAAAAGAGTCAAAGTACCCAGACAAAAGTGTAAAACCTTTCTGCATACTGACAGCTACTCGTGGCATATTTCAGCATGCCCTGGAATAGTCTTTGATCCTATGTTTCCACTGACTTGCGCTTAAAGGCTGGAGGCCACTAAGACAATAATGCCCAGGATCTTATGTAGGAATTTGAGTTCCTCAAAAATGTTATCAAAAAGCAACGGCTTTTTGCTCAAGGAGGGTCAAAAGAAATGCAGATCAAACACTACAGTTTGCAGTTTAGAGCCCTAGATTACTACAGTTAGTCTGAGAATCCCTTTAAGTAAGATCCATACATTGCATTCTTCCCCATTTTGTAAATTATAAGTCACTCAGCCAATGCTAGAATTCACAGCTGTAGGTACGCACAATATTCTTGGCTCTTTGCATTTTTGAGTAACATCTGTATCCTTGGTCTTTTCAAACTAATGAAAGAAACTTTATTGGTTTAATAGTTCATTCACATGATATTAACAACAATGGTTTAATCAAGAATGGTATTACGTATCCATCAGTTTCTGATGTATGTCTGCTTTCAGCAGCTAGGTATTTTAAAGTGATAGCTATGAAAGATGATCCTATTAAATCTGTTCTGTACAAATTCTGACACGTGTCCACCAGAGCTGATGCCTTTGCTATGACCTGTGGTTTTTTTATTGATTCTATGAGACCTGATGGCAACAGAACTGATGAAGAGTCACGGGACTGTATGGGCATAAGCCTAGCAGGAAGATTGTGAGCTGTGCAAAAAAAAAAAAAGTGAATAAACATTCCAGTATCTCTGTTGGAAGCAGCACTGCTCGCCCATAAGTTTCACAGCTTTGCAGGGGGATGTTAAGAGACTCAATCATTGGTGGCCATTTCCTGCCAGCAGTTTTTATGCAAACTCTCCACACCTTTCAATGGGGATTCCTGTGCAGGACTAATGGCATGATATTCCCCTTTGTCATTTCTCTGTCAGAAAAAATCAACGATAGCCCCGTATCCTGTCTGCATGAGAAGTCCAGGGACACTACATGGTGTGTGCTTTAACCAAAGGTAAACACTTCAGATAAAAACCTGCTAAACCCAAAATCTGTGTCAGACTCTTTTGTGTTGTTGGTATTTAATATGGACATTGGTTACAGTGTGTCATGGCAAAATAGTAAAATATATTGGACAAATTTGGATAAAACATAAGCTTGAGTTGATGTGAGTTAGAAGATCTTTCAGGATTGCTGCTTTTATTTCAGGTCTGAAGAAGGGCTCATAAAGGACTGTAAAGTTTGGGGTTTTTTTTCCAAATCTATAGGTTAGTCTAATAAAAATACTATTTTTTTCTACAAGCCTTGTCTCACGCAAGATTTTAGCATCCTCAGTACTGGTGTTTGGGTATTTCTTTCTTCACCGAAGTCAGAGGTTTGACAAAACCACACATGTATGTCCAAACATAGTTTTTAAAGGAAGATTACATTTAGAAAATCACATAAAAGTAAGATAACATTAGAAAAAGAAGAATGAATCTGCAAAACTCTAGTTACAGAGTGTTTAGAAATGTCTGAGTTAAGACAGCCCATAAAACCTGAAGGTGGATCCCTTGTAATGTATATGATGGCACAGACCACACGAGGGAAGATGAGGTCTTATCACAAAAGACATGTAGAAGAGCTCTTACAGTTGGGGCGTCCCTTGACTATGGAAAGGAGAAATTGAAGGGAAATACCATCTTAGGGCCTGCAGAGGGCATGGGTAGGAGCTGGTCCCTGAGGGATGTCACAAGTACAAGCAGTTTGGCAACTAGGAGCTGCTAAGTGATGGCCTATGCTCCAAAGAATCCTTGGCATATTTAACTGCCATATGCTATCAAGTGCCTGCCACTGCGTACGTGTGAATATATAATTATTTTTTTCTTGAGGTTTTTAACTTGGATTTGGATCAGTTTTTCACAGGGACAACAAATGGCATTTGTCTGCTGCAAAGATTACCTCCAATCAAGCACTTCTCTCCAGAGTGGATTGGGCTGCTAAGGGAAACAATTATAACATTGTTTTTAAAAACTTGATGCTTCCCTTAATCATCTGTTCAAATAATCTGAACTGTTTTACAGAAATGTTTCTTAAACAAAGAGTCTCAGAAGGTTATGCTGAATCATGAATGTCAACATAGATGCATTCATGGCATATTAATGATACCTAATTAATATAAAGATCATAAATTTATCAAAAGTTATTTTGTGTTTTATTCCTACGAAATAAAACTGCAAGTACCGTTTCACAAAAACAATCAGAGGTGGGTCTGAAAATGATGTCTCAATCTTCTTCATAAGCCAAGAATTTTGTGGAAATATTTTTTTATCTACTTCCATTGTATGTGGAGAATGCACCTTCTAATTCCAGGTCATAATCTTACACTGGAAACAGCTGCTGGATGACTCAAAACAGATTTTTCCTCCACAAAATAAGGTAGGTTTCCTTTTCTTCCTCCATGCTGGCTACATAGAGGAGATGAAAGTGATAGCGCCTTAGGAATGTCTCACGTTCCACCTGTCCGTGGCATGTTTGCATTCCAGAGGAACTAGTGCAGTGAAACCTGTTGAAATGAATCTTTGTTAAACAAAAAATTCACATACTGAGGAGTTCTAGTCATTGCCAATTTTATGATAGTGCTGAGGGATGCTAGCCAAGATCAGATGCCTCTGGGGTAGGCACCCCATAAACAACAAATAAGGAGCACCCATGTGGAGGAGGTCAGTTTAATTTCATACATATATGCCACTAGTGGTGCTGTAATTGTTCTTCAAAGTATTGTTACTAATGGCAGCCACTTGATGGAGAACTGTTATTCATTAATAACTGCACTACAGAGAGCAGTGCCCATGAAACCACAGATGATGGTATGGTATGACAACAGTTTTCTAGTAATAATATTCCAAGTTAGCCCCAAAAGGAATGAAGAAGGGGAAATAAAGAGGGCAGATATGATGGCTGAATCCATTCTTAACCTAGAATTTAAACACACAGGTCTTTTGTATATGAGCGTTAATGTGAGGTTTGTAGTTAACCTATGTGAGACTGTGCCTCGTTCAGTACCACCTAAAAAAGTGGCAGAGATGGATCATTCAGTCGATACTGGAACCATGACAATTCTGTTTCTAGGGTTTTGCATACAGAGAAGTGGCTCAAGTCAGTAGTTAACAATCGTGACCTGCAGGGGCTTTTCAGAGTCCTGTATGAAGCAAGGCCCTTCCATTCCCTGTGGACTCTTTAGCCTTTAAGAGCAGCCTGTCAGTGACTGAACATCCAACAGAATCAGAATGGTTCTTAAACTGTGAAAATTGTCTACCGTTCAAACTGTGAGGCACAGTTTCAACAAAATGAGAACTCTGAAACAACAGTTTTCTAAATTATACCCACCGTGTGCACAAAAAGGCGGTTAATTCTTCCACACTATAAAAGCTGAACATTTTTGACATGTGTTTTATTCGTTTAAAAAAAAAAAAAC